CTCCTGATCCAGTGCCTCCTGACTACAGCCGCACTCCCCCTGCTAACCAGCTCACCCTCTCCCCTTCCTGATAGCTGCCCCCACCCATCCCTCTCCTGACTGGTGCCCCCGACCCAATCCCTCCTGACAGCAGCTCCCTATCCAGTCCCTCCGGACAACAAGTCCATCCCCCTCCTGACCAGCCACACCCTCCCCTCAAGACCCATCCCCTTCCTGACCAGTACCCCTGAGACCTAAACCCCTCCTCATCATCCACCCCTGGCCTTCTCAGAGCATTCCCGGGACCTGCCATCGGCGCCCCTGCCCCACGTTTCCCTGTGCTGCTCTCGAGCCCCTTCCTAAGGCCACTCATTTATCCTTCACCTGTAGAGCTCCTATGTCATCCTAAACTCCCACCCCTGCTCCACCTGTGTAACTCCCATCTCTGACCTGTGCACTAATTCCTGCAGTGAATGTGTTTGCCCCCCACTAGGCACCTGGAGTCAGCAGCAAAATCCTCTGGCCCCTCTCTCCAATAGAATTTTGACCTGGGCTGCAGATCTCAGTGCCCATCCCAGGGGAACCTGGCCCTTCCACATGCCATTGAGTCTTCCAAGTGGCATTCAGACACATCTCCGATATTAGTCCCGGGTCTCTTTCTGAGTAGACCCCTAAGACCCCAGGCCACCAGAGCATCTCCCATGGACACCCCAGGTCGTCCCCACTAGCTACATAGACCTCAGGCCTCCCGGCATCATCCCAGCCCCCTGCATCTTCCAGAACACCTCCTTGCCAACAGCCCAGTACCCTCTTATCAGCTCAGGCACCCCACAGTGGCCTAGGCTTTCCATACAAAGACATCAGCCCCACATAGAACCCAGACACACCCGTAGGCCTCTAGTGTCTTGACCAAGAGCTCCACTAGACCCCAGTCTAAACAGCCTCTCCCCACCAAAGACCTCATCCCAGAGCCTGTCTGAGTCACTTATCACCTGAGAGGCCGTGGGGCAAAGGGAGCTGCTTAAACCTGTGGGGCCTTGAAATGGGCCTCTTCCTTCTTCAAAAATATGTGTATAAAAGAGTGGACACACCATAAGAGTAGTTTTGCCTGTGGCCTCAGCAGGGACGACTGAGCTTGTAATCTCCCAGTCATGGTGCAGGTAGGTGGCCAGGTGAGCAGGCCTGAAGATTGTGGCGGGGCCTAGTATCGATGAGTTGCTTTCTGCCTTCCAGCACCTCTTCTTTCTCCTGGATTGAACATAGGAAAAATGAATAGAGGATCAGAAAACTCACGTGGAATCCCCTCCTTTCCACTTGTCATATCATAAACATTTCCCATATCGTTAAAAATCCTTCCTAAGCCGGGCTCAGTGGTTCAGCCTGTAATCCTGTGCCTTTGGGAGGCTGAGATGAGTGGATTGCCTGAGCCCACGGGTTCGAGACCCCCCTGGGCAGCGAGACCTCATCTCTACAATAAATCAAAAAGTCAGCCGGGCGTGGTAGTACATGCCTGTAATTCCGGCTACTCGGAAGGCTGAGGGGGCAGGATCACCGGAGCCCAGCAGGTCGAGTCTGTGGTGGCCGGGAGCGGCCACTGCACTCCAGTCTGAGCGACAGAGTGAGACTCCAACTCAAAAAAAAAAAATCAAACGACAAAATACCTCCCTGTTTGTTTTTAATGACTTAACATTTTCTTCAGCTATATGTTCCCCATAGTGAGCCTGGAAAATGCACAAAAGCTTATTTTCTCCTGGCTCTTCCCACTTTCCCTCTGCTTTTGAGAGTCTCTCCTCTAGTTTCTCTTGCCCTCTTCATGGTCTCCTCCCCCAGCCAGGTCTTGGCAGAAAAGGTGAAGAAGACTGCAGAGATAGTATTTTCTGGGCCTGGATGGGCAAGACACAGCTACAGCCTGCACATCATTGCTGTTAATGTGTAAATGAAATTTAAATTTAAAATTCAGTTCCTTATTTCAAGTGCCCTGGATCCATGTGTATGCTGCTGGCTACTGAATTGGACCCAGGTAGAGAATATTTATTTCCCTCCTCTAGGAAGTGCCCAGATGAGACAGGCGCTGCCCCTCCGCAGGGCAGGAATTCCTAATCCCCCTGCTCCTCAACCAGTGTGGTAGGGAGGAGATAGATACTAAGCCAAGTAAGGGAAAAACATGTGCCCAGGAAGACGTGGGGTGGAAGACAGCACCTTGAAAATGCAGTGGGGATACCTGCCTTGGGATGAGCCTTTGCAACAGGTGCATAGTCCTGGGGCAGCCAGCGGCTTGAAAGTAGCCAGTGAGAGTGAGGTGGGGAGAGAGCAGATCAGTTTCTTGGGGTGCTGGAGGCGGGAGCTTAGGGGACACCCTGTCAGGCAGGGCCACCTCTGACGTGGCCTCTATCCCCGACCCTCTACAGACCCCTGACTGCTCCCGCCTGTGCACCGACTCTTCTGGCGTCCAGCCCACACACCCCAGAGGGGCCCTGAGGCCGGAGAAATGCTCCCACGGGCCAAATCCCCCACCGCCCCCGGTCCCCATGCCCCCGCGAGTAGAACAGGGCCCCTCGACTTGACAGCCCTGGGAACACAGAGACCCAGCGCCTGTGCTTCCAGCGGTTCCAGTACCGCGTGGCCGGCGGGCCGCACGTCGCACTGGGTCAGCTTTGGACACTGTGCCGCCGGTGGCTGTGGCCCGAGGCGCGCTCCAAGGAGCAGATGCTGGAGCTGCTGGTGCTGGAGCAGTTCCTGGGCGCGTTGCCCAGCAAGATGAGAACCTGGGTGCAGTCTCGGGGGCCTCGCAGCAGCAGCGAGGCCACCAACCTGGTGGAAGACCTCACGCAGATGGGCCAGCAGGAAGGTGAGAGGTGCCGGCGGGCGGGGGCGGGGCCGTTGCCCCTCCTTCCCTGAACCCCCGCGCGTCCCCCAGGGGCAGACCCCTCCGGCCCTGCCCGCGCCTGCTCTCTCTTCGCTGTTTGTATGTAAATGTCGCGCCGTGCCTCATCTGCCAGGAATCTCGTTCGCTGGGTATTAAGGACCCCTGCGTTTCCCACGCGTCCATCTGTCCTGTGGTATTGTATCGCTGCCTCCTCGCCGCGCGTCCTCCCTGGGAAGGACGCCAGCCGCCCTCCCAGCCCCTCGTAGCGCCTGCCTCGGGCGACGTAGGAACCCCGGGACCGCCGGGCACCCGGGCGCAACCCGCCCTAGAGTCGCACGAGCTGGCGGTGGAGATGCTCAGTCCTGCGTCCCGGCACACTGCAGGGCCGGGGTGACGCCGACTCCTCTCCCTTCCTCGCGGCTTCGCCCTCCTGTGCTCTCGCCCCTGGGACCACACGTCGAGATCCCATCATTCTGGCCCTGTCATTCCTAATACTGTCGACAAAAAGCAGGAGGTGGACACGGTGAGGCCAAAAGAAGCGAGTGTGGACGGTGAGGGCCAGGGGAGGCCATGTGGAGAGGGAGCGAGCGGAAGACCGCAGGGTCGCGGGCAGGGGCACCACAGAGCAGGACCGGGTGTGAGGAAAGGAGCCTAGCGATTAGAGCCCAAAGAAAGGGGTCTGAGTAGGGGGAGAACAGATCTCTCCTCGCCTCCCACCGTAGGTCTCCCACAGACTCGCCGTGATGAGTCTATGGGGGTCACAGGGAAGCCTTGTGGTTTGCAGAAAACAGGGTTCTCTTGCCAGGCGCGATGGCTCACGCCTATAATCCCAACACTTTGGGAGACCGAGGTGAGAGGATTGTCTGAGCCCACAGATTCGAGACCAGCCTGGGCAACTTGGCAAGACCTCATCTCTACAATAAAATTTTTTTTAAAAATTAACGAGATGTGATGGCTCGTACCTATAATTCCAGCTACTTGGAAAACTGTGGAGGAAGGATTGCCTGGGCCCTGCAGATAGAGGCTGTGGTGGCCATGAGCGTACCACTGCACTTCAGCCTGGGCGACAGAGTGAGACTCCAGCTAAAAAAAAAAAGAAAGAAAGAAAGAAAAGAAAAAACAGGGTTCCAGGTGGCTCTTTATGCTTTGAGTGGCCGAGGCCCGAGGGTCTCTTGAGCCCAGGAGTTCAAGGCCAGCCTGGGCAACAAAGCAAGACCCTCATCTCTATTAAAAACAAAACAAAAACTTTAAAGCTGGAAAGCAGAACAGTCTCAGATGAATTGGCCCATTGAACTCTGTTCCTGGGGCCAAGGGGCCATGGGACCGAAGAGCACTTGCTGCTGCCTTCTGTGGGCAACAGCCCACCCCAGCGCAGAGGGACCCTCACAAGGTTTAATAATCCGCTGTCACGACCTTGAAATTCTCTATTTTTGAGCAAGGGGCCTGTGTTTGCGTTTTGCACGGGTCCTTGAGGTGTATGTCTTTCCAAGTGGTAGTTTGCTTTTTATATTACATATTTTGCCTAAGAGACTGTGTGTGTGTGTGTGTGTGTGTGTGTGTGTGTGTGTGTGTATCACAGTATAGGTTTTATAATGAGCAGTCTTAGGCCCACCCTATCAGCCCAGCTTCCCACAAGGATAGCCTTGGGTTGTTTATAAAGAAGGAGCAGCCAGGTGCAGTGGTTCAGCTTATAATCCCAGCACTTTGGGAGGCCCAGGCGAGAGGATAGCCTGAGTCCGGGGGTTTGAGACCAGTCCGGGGATTTGAGACTTGTCTCTACAATAAACCATAAAAACTAGCCAGGCGTGGTGGTGTGTGTCTATAGTACCAGCTACTTGGGAGGCTGAGGCGGAAGGATTGCCTGAACCCAAAAGGTTGAGGCTGCGGTGGCCGTGAGCGTGCCACTGTACTCCAGCCTGGGTGACAGAGTGAGACTCCAACTCAAAAAAAAAAAATAATAATAATAGCATGCTGTGGCTTCCCCACTCTGCCCATACCCCCTGGATGCTTTCATGCACCTGTGTGTTTGTACTTTCCCTCTTATTGAATCCTTATCAGTACATGGTTCTGGTTCCTATATACTGAACCTTCTGGAAAGGGTGTCTTGTACCTGTCATTCAGTTCTCAGGTGGGCTTGCTTCAGCAGTTGTCTCTGCTGGATCTCAGGCGGGATCCCAAAGAGATGTATCCCAGGTGAGCCCGGGGCCCCAGCTCCACGCTCCTGCACCCTGGGGCATGTGCGCCTCTCCAAGACAGCCTCAAGGATACTCCATTCAAACACTGTGTGAGGCTGTCCCGGACACTCTCAGGAAGCCATCCCACAGATCCCAAAACATCCTGGGGCTGAATGCTGGACAAAAGGCAACAATCTGGGATGTGGGCATGTCCTGTGTTCCAGCCCCAGCACCCTGGCCCCCTGCCAGTCCTTTCCAGCTCAAGCTGTGCAGTTCGATCCCTGTTCTCCTGTGTAATCCATGTCAGATGCTAGGCTTGTTGAGAAAGTATGGATGCTGCCCCTCATCTTACCTGTAGTCATCTTCTCCCAAGGAACTCTGGATTCTTGGGGTGGGGGGACTCCCTGGCAGCTGGACCTGCTGCTGCACAAAGGCCCTGGAGGCAGTGGGAGGGGACCAGCACTGGGTCAGGTACCAAGTGGATTTTGGTGTGGCTGGAGAGATTAAAATCCGGGGTTGGGCTATGCAGACCTATGGCGAGATCCTGCATTCATGGGTGAGTCACAAAAGGAAAAAAGTAAAAACCTTCCAACAATGCGTGTGATCCTATGACCAGGGGTGAAAGTGTGAATACCTGCTGCCCCTGCATCTTGGTATGGATCATCAAGGGAAACAGTGCAGTTGAGCACTGGGTCAAAAACACTTTGCTCACACAGAGAGGCGACAGGCCAAGAGCAGTGCCAATGTGGGCACAGGCCCCATGACCAGCATGTTCCCTGGGCTGTGGCAGTGCTCTTGGCTATGCATACCCTTCCTGCGCTCTCTGCAGGGACAGGATCTCGCAGTGGGGCTGGCCAGGTGCTGTGTGGGATCCACGCTGATGCTGAAACACAAACAGAGGTCTTGGCACAGACACACACCGTGAGGAAGCCTTATCCCTGAATAGGAAACCAGTCTCTCACAGCCATGTAAAAGGTTGAAGGACTGCACATGAGCCAGTCTCTCCTGAGTGTTTTAGTCCATTCTGGCTGCTCTAACTAAATGCCATAGGCTAGGGTCCTATAAGCAACTGAAATTTATTTCTCAAAGTGCTAGGGGCTAAAGTCCAAGATCAAGGCACCAGCAGACCTGGTGTCTGGTGACCTGCTTCCTGTTCGTAGGTGGCACCTTCTTGCTGTGTCCTCATGGGGTGGAAGGGCCAAGGAAACTCTGAGGCCTCCCAATCATGAGGGCTCCACCCTCATGACCTCATCACCTCCCAAAGGCCCCACATTCCAATAACCCTGTCTCCATGTCCTCAATCCTCAATCCTCCTACAGGCCCCTCTCCCCCTTTTCTGAATGACAACCCTCTGTCTCTCTTCTCTGTCCTTCTTGAAAAACTCCCAATAACCTCGATCCCATGAGCATACACTCCTCTGCTCCAGGACACCCTTACCTCTTTCTTGAGGTCACCAGCCTCCCTTGCCCATGACTGAGGTTGCCTTCCTCCCCTCCAAGGCCCCTCCATGCCGTCTGCACACAGCCTCCAAGCTCTGTCGGTGTCCTCCTGTTTCCTTTGTCCACTCTTAGAGGGCAGACATGAGTCTTGTGTTTCTCTTTTCAAAATGGTAGTGTTCCTGTAGGCACATGAAAAGACACTACACACCATTAGCCATCAGAGAAATGCAAACTAAAAACATGAGAGATATCACCACACACCTGTTAGGATGGTTAGAGACAGGAATGGCCCCAAAAGTGTGGCAAGGGTGTTCCCCACAAGGAAGTTTAAAAAGAAGGGCAGTCGGGAAGATAGGTGCTAGTTGTTGAATGAGTCTCCTTGGAAGAAGATGTGTCATATCATACCTGTATTCCAAGAGGAAGGTGAAATCATCAAGATCTTGTCTGCAAAGACTGTGCAGTGACAAAGCTGCACTCCACGGGTAGCTAGAGAAAAGATGCAATGTCCTCCAGGAGGACACAAACCATAGGTGTCAGGCTGTTTAAATGGGCACTGAATGGACATGTTAGCTCATAAGAGCAAAATAGTTACTGGTTGTTGCGTAGAATCAGTGATTTTTAATAACATTTAGTGTTGGGTCTGGGGGCTGCTTTAATTACGGGTCTCTATGATGCAGAGCACTCCTTCAATGATAAGAAGAGACACAAGGTGAAAATAAAGATTTCGTGACTTACAGATGCTGGGAAGATACGCAGCACATGGCACACCTGGAAACCACACACACACACACACACACACACACACACACACACACACACGGAGGTCAGGAAGTGTATAGAGAGTGAGCCGGCCATGGCACACCTGGAAACCACACACACACACACACACACACACACACACACACACACACACACACACACACGGAGATCAGGAAGTGTATAGAGAGTGAGCCGGCCATGGCATACCTGGAAACCACACACACACACACACACACACACACACACACACGGAGGTCAGGAAGTGTATAGAGAGTGAGCCGGCCCTCTGTTGGGCCCAGGGTAGAGCACATAAATGTCAGAGGAGCCCATGACAATTTAACAGTTTGAAACAGGAATCAAAGGGCTAGGGAGCGCATTCTCTGTCCCAGTCAGATGGACCACAGGGGGAGCCTGGCCTTGAAACAGGAATCAAAGGCCAGGGAGCGCATTCTCTGTCCCAGTCAGATGGACCACAGGGGGAGCCTGGCCTTTAGCTAAGTGGCCACGTGCAGAAGGGATGCCGAGGCTGTTCATTTCAGGCTTGTCTCAGCTAGTTCGCATTGCTATAAGGAACTCCTGAGGCTGGGTGACATAGGAAAGAGGCTTATTTCGCTTGTTCTTCAGGCAGTACAAGAAGCATGACACTGGCATCTGCTCTCAGTGAGGGCCTCGGGCTGCTTCCACTCACGGAGGAAGGGGAACCTGGGCATTACCAGTCAAGGTAGGGGGTGGGGAGACAGTGGGGAGGTGCCAGGTTCTTTGCAACAACCAGCCCTTGCAGGAACTAAGAGCATGAGAACTCACCCCCAACCCCAGGGTATTAATCTATTCATGCCCCTGTGGCCCCAACATCTCTCACCAGGCCCTACCTCCAACACTGGGGATAGAATTTCAACATGAGGTTTGGAGGGAGGAACATCCAAACCCCAGCTGGCCTCCATACGGGGAGCCTTGGTGGGTGGGAGCTGGAGTAATCCATCACAAGGTGTTTCTCCAATTTGAGAACAGGAAAATCAGGCTGAGAAATTGAGAAGCAGTGAGAATAGTCACCCCTTTATTCATCCACTTTTATTTTATTTAGAGTTGGAGTCTCACTCCTTCACCCAGGCTGGAGTCCAGTGGCATGCATGCTCACAGCCACCCCAGCGTCGACCTACTGGGCTCCGGCGATCCTTCTGCCTCAGCTATTTTTATTTTATTTTATTGTAGAGACGAGGTCTCACCAAGTTGCCCGGGCTGTCTCAAGCCCACAGGCTCAGACAATCCACTCACCTCAGCCTCTCAAAGTGCTGGGGTTACAGGCAGAGCCAAAGAGCCCAGCCAGCTTTTATATACGTAATAAGTTTTGGAGGGTTTTTCAGTTTGTTTGTTTTTTAAGTTGGACTCTCACTCTGTCGCTCAGGCTAGAGTGCAGTAGTGCCACCATAGCTCACCTCAGCATTGACCTGCTGGGCTCTGGAGATCCTTCTAGCTCAGCCTTCCAAGTAGCTGGAAATAGAGGCATGCACCACCATGCCTAGCTAATTTTTTTTTTTTGAGTTGGAGTCTCACTCTGTCGCCCAGACTGGAGTGCAATGGCCACTTCTGGCCACCGCAGCCTCGACTTGCTGGGCACTGGCCATCCTTCCGCCTCAGCCTTCCAAGTAGCTGGAACTACAGGCGCGCACTACCACACCTGGCTAATTTTTGATTTATTGTAGAGATGAGGTCTTGTCAAGTTGCCCAGGCAGGTCTCGAACCCGCGGGCTCAGGCAATCCACTCACCTCGGCCCCCCAAAGTGCTGGGATTGCAGGCTGAGCCACTGAGCCTGGCCCCAGCTAATTTTTTTGATTTATTGTAGAGACGAGGTCTCGCCATGTTGCCCGGGTTGATCTCGAATTCCTGGGCTCAGGCAATCCTCTTGCCTCGGTCTTTCAAAAGTGCTGGGATTAGCAGGTCGAGGCTGCGGTGACTGGGAGCGGCCACTGCACTCCAGTCTGGGTGACAGAGTGAGACTCCAACTCAAAAAAAAAGAAGTGCTGGGATTATAGGATTGAGCCACCGAGCCTGGCCTGTAATAAATTTTAATCCATGGAAGCCCTGTTGTAATTTACGCTGGGCCACATTAGCTGCTTTACCTGGGGGTCATGGAGTCCCATATTGTCTCATCAATTTGTAAGTGACAAAAACTTACTTTTTTTTTTTTTTGAGCTGGAGGCTGGAGTGGCACACTCATGGCCACCCTAACATCGACCTGCTGGGCTCCGGCAATCCTTCCGCCTCAGCCTTCCAAGTAGCTGGGACTACAGGTGCATGCTACCATGCCTGGCTAATTTTTTACTTTTTTATTTTTTGAGTTGGAGTCTCACTGTGCCGCCCAGAATGGAGTGCAGTGGCACGCTCCTGGCACCGCAGCCTCGACCTGCTGGGCTCCGGCAATCCTTCCACCTCAGCCTTCCAAGGAGCCAGAACTACAGGCGCGTGCTACCATGCCCGGCTAGTTTTTGATTTACTGTAGAACAGAGGTCTCGCCAAGTTGCCCTGGCAGGTCTCCAACCCATGGCCTCAGGCAATCCACTCACCTCGGCCCCCCAAAGTGCTGGGATTACAGGCTGAGCCACTGAGCCCAGCAAATTTACTTTAATTCTAATTCATTATTTATTGTGTCAGAGCATCTGTGCCCAATAAGATTTTTTTTTTTTTTTTTTTTTTTAAAAAGCAGGATGTATTGAGAGTACAGAAAAGCTCCCAGAGGGGAGGGGACCCAAGGGGGTTGCCTAAGATATTTTAAAGAATGGGATGTAGCCGGGCTCGGTGGCGCACCTTTGGGAGACTGAGGTGAGTGGATTGCCTGAGCCCACGGGTTCAAGACCCGCCTGGGCAACTTGGTGAGACCTCATCTCTACAATAAATCAAAAATTAGCCGGGCGTGGTACCGCGTGCCTGTAGTTCCGGCTACTTGGAAGGTTGAGCGGAAGGATCGCCAGAGTCCAGCAGGTCGAGGCTGCAGTGACCAGGAGCGGCCACTGCTCTCCAGTCTGGGCGACAGAGTGAGACTCCAACTCAAAAAAAAAAAAAAGAATGGGATGTGTGGGAAATGAACGGTGTATATGGGAAATATACGCCCAACTACAGAGAACATGTGTTTTCTTTGACCTACCCCACTTAGGGCAGGGAGTTTGGGCAGCATTAGACAGTAGGCTGCGGCACACAGCACCAAGCCTGAACCTTTCCAAGTGGTGCTAGCCAGGTACTAGTAACTCGGCTACCTTGGCCACTGTGTGGTCATTGCGATTTTCTTCTAACTTGGTCTTGAGGTCTCGCCTTGGAACATGGCCATACCAAAGATAGCCACTTTCTGGGGGAGTCAGATGTCAGGTGTGTCAGTCAGGTGAGACGCAGAAGAGGCAGCACACAAAACACACAGAGTAATATAAGGAGTGTGTATTGCTCACAGATCCCAGAGAAGAGGTCACCAGGCGGGGCCCCTGGACACCTGCCCAGCTATAGGGAAGGAAGCAAGAACTCGCAGGGACGTGAGGGCTAAAGCCTCTGATGGGGTCCATTTAGCCCAGTGAAAATGGTTTTGTATACCAGGCCTCAAAAGCTGTGAGAAAGAAACTTGTATTTTCTTATAACCCGTGAGCTTGTCCCAATTTGTGACAGCAGCCACAGGAAACCAACCCACATGACACTCACCAAGCAGACAAGAGAGAGTAATGGCCCAAGGCTGTCCCTTGTGAATCTCATAGTTCCTGGGTACTTTTGCCTTTTTGGGTCTCCATAAAAATAATATCCAAAGTTATATGTCCTCACCTTTAGCCTCCATAAAATGACTTGAAAGTATTTTAAAATTATACTTTTTGTGATCACATTGGTATAAAGATGAATGTATACTAGGCTAGTAGCCATTATGTTTTGTCCATTTCTGTCCTTCTGACTCTAAGAGAAATTAAAAATTATCACGAGAAACCCTCTCCCGAACCAAAACAAAGTCTGGTGGGCCCTGGACACGGCTCCTCTGGATCTGAGAAGAGCCCAACCTGGGTGACCATTGTGCCTGCCGATACCCCAGCCTGCTGATCCCAGGCCCTCCCCCTTCCTAAGCTCTCCCCACAGAAGCTGCATGCTCAGCCACCCCTCTCCCCACACTCCCATTTGAAGGACTTTACTTTTCAGGGGTCCTTGGCTGCTAAGATCCTCTGATCTCTCCCTTCACCAGGGAAGCTGAGGCTGAAACCCTCTGGGCGCTAGGTTTGGCTTTGGGGCCTGAGGGCAGCAGTGGGGGACCAGTGTCTGCGAAGGCACTCGGAAGGGGCCTCGGAGTGAGATGCCCACGTGAAGGAATGGCAGCAGTGGCATGGGCTGCGCATCCACGCTGCCCTGGGTAGCTCTGCTTTTGAGGCAGCGGGGGAACAGCAGATGGGAGCGCAGGTGGCCAGGAGGCATACCAGCTCTGTGAGCCGTGGTAGAATGTGTGGGGTGAAGGATGGTGATAGCTGGCTCCAGGGTGGGATGTGATACAGTTGCGTGTTGCCTAATAGCAGGGAGTTGTTCTGAGAAACTTGTCCTCAGGTGATGTTGTGTGAACGTCACAGAGCAACTGACACTGACTCAACGTCACAGAGTAACTGACTCTGACTCAACTGCCATGAACGTCACAGAGTAACTGACTCTGACTCAAAAAGAAAAAAAATTTTTCTTTCTCTATATCCTTATTCTATAAGCTTTTCCTCTATTAAAATTTTAAAACTCCTTTTTGTTAAAAACTAAGACACAAACACACACAATCCTGTACAACCCGTGACTACTGAATTTGTAACACAATAGCATGTATTTGTGCATCTAAATATATCTAAACATAGACAAGGTAGGTAAAAATACAGTATAAAAGCTTAACAAAATGGCCAGGTGCAGTGGTTCACACCGATAATCTTGATACTTTGGGAAGCTGAGGCAGGAGGATCACTGTAGGCCAGGAGTTTGAGACCAGCCTAGGCAACATAGTAAGACCTCATCTCTACCAAAAAAATGAAAAAATTACCATGGTGGACACCTTTAGTCCCAGCTACTCAGGAGGCTGAGGCGGAAGGATCCCCTGAGCCCAGGAGTTTGAGGCTGTGGTGAGCTATGGAGGCACCACTGTACTCCATTCTGGGCGACAGAGCAAGACCCTGTTGATTAGGGGAAAAAATGATTTAAAAAATGCAACACCTGTATAGAGCCCTTACCTTGAATGGAGTTTGCAGGACTGGAAGTTGCTCTGGGTAAGTGAATTTGAAAGCCTAGGACATTACGCTACTATGGGTTTTATAAACACTATACTTAGGCTATACTAGATTTATAAGCAATATTTTTCTTTCTTCAATAATTTAACCTTATCTTGTACCCTTTTTTACTTTTAATTTTCTAGCTTTTTGTAATATCACTTAGCTTAAAAACACAAACACATTGTATAGCTGTATAAAATATGTTTTCTTATGCTGGGCTTGGTGGCTCATGCCTGTAATCCCAGCACTTTGGGAGGCGGAAGTAAGGGGACTGCCTGAGCCCAAGGGTTCGAGACCAGCCTGGACAACTTGGTGAGACCTCATCTCTACAATAAATCAAAAAATTAGCCAGGCATGGTGGCACGTGCCTGAAGTTCCAGCTACTTGGAAGGTTGAGGTGGAAGGATCAACTGTGCCCAGCAGGTCGAGGCTGCGGTGGACATGAGCGTGCTACTATACTCCAACCTGGGTGACAGAGTGAGACTCCGACTCACAGAAAAAAAAATTATTTCTTATGCCGGGCTCACGCCTGTAATCCCAGCACTTTGGGAGGCAGAGGCGAGGGAACTGCCTTAGCCCAAGGATTTGAGACCAGCCTGGACAACTTGCCAAGACCTCGTCTCTACAATAAATAAGAAAAAATTAGCTGGGCATGGTGGCACATGCCTATAGTCCCAGCTTTTAGGAGGCTAAGGTGGGAGGATTACCTGAGCCTAGCAGGTCGAGGCCATAGTGGCCTTGAGCATGCCACTGCACTCCAGCCTGGGCAACAGAGTGAGACTCTGACTAAAAAAGAAAAAAAAATTTTTTTCTTTCTGTATATCCTTATTCTATAAGCTTTTTTCTATTAAAATTTTAAAACTTTTTTTTGTTAAAAACTAAGACACAAACACACATCAACCTACCCAGGGTCAGGCTCATCATCAATATCACTGTCTTCCACCACATCTTGTCCCACTGGAAGGTCTTCAGAGGCAGTAACACACGTGAAGCTGTCATCTATAATGATGAGGCCTTCCTCTGGAATACCTCCTGAACAACCTATCAGGCTGTTATACACTCGACTATTTTTATAAGCAGAAGGAGAACACTAACCTAACAACAATCAGCACTTGCATCCCTGGCACTGAAGAAAGGATGCTGTCCAGGTGGTGGCCGTGCTGCCTTGTGACGATCCGATGTCCACCAGTGCAACCAAGGCGGGAGCGATGCATGGCTCTGGAAACCTGATAGCTGTCCTCGATGAGTCGTTCCCTGATGTGAGGACGAGATAATTTCCACACAAGCCACCAGCTAAGGGAAGACAGCCAGCAAAAGCAGGGAGTCCGCATGGGACCCTTGAAGGTTGCTGCTGGTGTCACCACCAACGGATGACAGACCTGACAAGGGGCTGCGCCTATCTGCCTTCCGGTACAGCCTCTAGCAGTGCTGCTGGGCATCCAACCAGACTGGTGTGAGGACGGGTGTCTCCATGGCAGAAACAGCGGAGCTGCTGGGGTCATGGGGTGGCGGTGCCTCCATCCTGAGTTACTTCAAATGCAGCCCTGGGTGTTTCAGGCCGACTCCCTGGTGTGTGCTTGTCCCACGCCCGGGCTCTAGGGTACCAGCAAGAGAAACCGCATGGAGCTGCTGGATCATGAGGAACTGCGGGGGAAGTGGACCCTGCTCATCCAGATGGCCATCCTGGTGCTGGGGGGGGTGTCCTCTGGCCCTTGGGAAAGAAGAGTCACTGGCGCACATGGCTTCTCACTGTGGCAACAATTCCGGCAGCCTCTTCCGGTGCAGCAAGAGTGAGGACAGGAAGTGCAAGGTGCGCTCAGCAGCACTGGGTTGGCACCTCTGCTGCTGCTGGTGCTCCTGTCGGGGTGTGCTTTTCAGTCTAGAAGAGGTCATTTGAGCTGGATGTGGTGGCACCTGTAATCCCAGCTGCTCAGGAGGCTGAGACAGGAGGAGCACTTGAGTCTTGGAGGTTGAATCTGTGGTGAGCTATGATTGCTCCTCTGCACTCCAGTCTGGGCAACAGAGTGAGACCCTGATTTTATATATATATTTTTGAGTCAGAGCCTCACAGCCACCCAGGCTGGAGTGCAGTGGTACGCTCACAGCCACTGCAGCTTCGACCATCAGGGCTCAGGCGATCCTTCTGCCTCAGCCTTCCAAGTAGCCAGAACTACAATCATGCACTACCACACCCGACATTTTTTTTTTGAGTTAGAATCTCATTCTGTTGCCCAGGCTGGAGTGCAATGGCATGCTCATGGCTATCGCGGCTTCGTCCTGCTGGGCTCAGGCGATCCTTCCGCTTCAACCTTCCAAGTAGCTGGAACTATAGGGGTGTGCCACCATGCCCAGCTAATTTTTTTGTTTTACTGTAGAGACGAGGTCTCACCATTTTGCCCAGGCTGGTCTCGAACCTGTGGGCTCAGGCAATCCTTTCACCTTTACCTTCCAATGTGCTGGGATTATAGACGTGAGCTCGCATGCCCAGCTTAATAAAAAAAAAATTTTTTTTTTGAGTTGGAGTCTTACTCTGTCCCCCAGACTGGAGTGCAGTGGCCGCTCCCAGCCACCGCAGCCTCGACCTGCTGGGCTCCAGCGATCCTTCCACCTCAGACTTCCAAGTAGCTAGAACTACAGGCACACGCTACCACACCTGGCTAATTTTTTGTTTTATTGTAGAGATGAGGTCTCACCAAGTTGCCCAGGCGGGTCTCAAAACCCGCAGGCTCAGGCAATCCACTCACCTCAGCCTCCTAAGGCGTGGGATTACAGGCTGAGCCACCGAGCCCGGCTAAAAAAATTTTTTTAATAGAAGAGATCAGTTACTACTTTACCCTGAAGACCTGTGGAGGTTATTTTTCACGGTCCTGGTGGTAGCCTTCACGCTACCATCCACCTGCTTTTGAGACTAGCTGCCTTGTTTGTTTATGTGGAATATCATATACCCTGGTATGGGTTAAACTCTTCTCCTTCATCCTCCTTGAGGTCTTTAGGGGCTTGTAGAGCCTCTTCACCTGCCACATGGCCTTGTCCAGGAGGCGCAAGACCCCAGGCTGGGAAAGTGCTCAGTGCTGGCAGTTATCATGGTCACCGCCATCATTGCCTACCCTAGTTCCACAAGTAACAGAGCTCATTTCCAAGCCATTCTATGACTACAAGTCCGTGAGTCCTCCCAGCTCTGTGGCTACATCAAGGACCCCAACACGACCCTCCTATGCTTGACATTCCAGACTGGCCATGGGGTTGGGTTTACACAGCTATGTGGCAGCTGGTTCTGGTGCAGCTCTGCAAAATCCCCTGTGGCCTCTTCGTCTCCAACACGGCCATGGTAGTGAAGCCGGGCAGCACAGGGGACTGTACGAGCAGCTGGCATACTCTCACCACGACAAGTCGCACCAACACTTTACATGGTGGGGGTGAGCTGTGGCAGTCGAGGTGGAGTTTCCGGGGTGACGGTGTCCTTGGTCATCAGCATGTTTGAATGAATGGGGTCTGCAGTACATCCTGCCCCTGATGGCAGCGGTGACCAGCAGGCGGGTGACCAATGCCCTTGGGAAAGAGAGGAAGGCAGTTACGAGGCCCACATCCACATCAATGGGAACCCATTTCTCAAGGTGAAGGACAAGTTCACTACCTCACACTGGCCAGCAGCACCAGTAGGCCAGCAGGGGGAGCTACTGTCGTTCCCTCCCAGGACAGCATGACGGTCAAGGACGTGGAGTTGATCCTCAGGGACACTGACCACAACAGCTTCCATGTGGTCTCAGGAAACTGAGCAAGTCATCAGATTTGTCCAGAGGAACAGCTTCTTGAATAAAGAATACTGGGCAGAGGCAGGAGGGCTTCGCGAGCCACTCCATTAGGCACCTTGCAGATGAATGCCCCCTCCCCCACTGCCAGGCATAGCTTGCCCCCCAAAGATGCAGCGCACCCCTGAACCTGGGCCCTTCACAGTTCCAACACCCCATGGAGGCAGTGGTGGACATCTCCTGGGAACCGAGGCTGTGCTTGGTCACTCAGAGTGGGAGACTTCTTGGCATCATCACAACAAAGGAGGTTCTGAGACACAGCCCAGGCAACAACCAGGATTCCGGTACATCTTGTCTAATGAGCGACGAGGTGGCAATTATTTTGAGAAACTCACTATGTTATTATTATTATTATTATTATCATTATCATTACCATTATTATTATTATTTTGAGTCAGAGTCTTACTTTGTCGCCCAGGTTGGAATGCAGGGGCATGCTCACTGCCACTGCAGCCTTGACTTGCTAGGCTCAGGCGGTCCTTCCACCTCAGCCTTCCAAGTAGCTGGAACTACAGGCACATGTCACCACGCCCAGCAAATTTTTTTTGATTTATTGTAGAGAAGAGGTCTTGCCACGTTGCCTAGGCTGGTATCGAATCCATGGGCTCAAACAATCCTCTTGCCTTGGCCTCCCAAAGTGCTGGGATTACAGGCATGAGTCACAGCGACCTAACACTATGTCATTTTAAAAGGAATAAACAGGCTGGGCTCGGTGGCTCAGCCTGTAATCCCACGCTTTGGGAGGCCGAGGTGAGTGGATTGCCTGAGCCCACGGGTTTGAGACTAGCCTGGGCAACTTGGCAAGACCTCATCTCTACAATAAATTAAAAAATTAGCCAGGTGTGGTAGCACGTGCTTGTAGTTCCAGCTGCTTGGAAGGCTGAGGCAGAAGGATCGCCAGAGCCCAGCAGGTCAAGGTTGCGGTAGCCGGGAGCGTGCCACTGCACTCCAGTCTGGGCGACAGAGTGAGACTTCAACTCAAAAATAAAAATTAAAAAAAGGAATAAACAAATGATACATTATCATCTCAATGAAACATCCCATTCGAGGGGCAGCAGAAACAAAAGCTTTGTTCAAAGGAGGGGAAGAAGGATAAAACCTTTTTTAAAAAACAATAACATCAATGGATAGGCATTTTATAGCTTTAACACTGATGAGTCTCAAGCTGTTTCTTAATGAGTTTCCTAACTGCTATGGGGCATGTTTGGGGGGAGGGCGGTGTAAATAAAGTGGTTTGGGCCAGGCAGGCCTGGTGTAGTCCCACCTACTCAAGGTTGAGATGAGAGGGTCGCTTGAGGCCAGGAGTTTGAGATCGTTCTCGGCAATTTAGCAACACAGTCTCTAAAAAAATTGTGTGTTTTGTAAGAGGACAGACAAGAAGAAACTGTACCCCTTCTGCTCATGGCTGATGTTTACAACTTAAGAAAGCACATGAAGCTTTGAGTTCAAAAGGTGACGGGGTAGTGCATGTAGGCATACTTATTATTGGTTTCTGAAGTTTTGCTGCTATGTCATGCTTGCACTTACTTTGGTGGAACAAAAAGTAAATTTGAACACAAGGAAAACTAAAAATAAATAATAGTAACCAGGTGTGGTCAAGTGCACCTATAGTTCCAGCTACCCAGAAGTTCTAGGCTGCAGTGAGCTATGATAGTGCCACTGCACTCCAGCCTAGGTGAAAGAGGGAGACTCCGTTCTCTATTTTTAAGAAGAAATAATAGGCCAGGCATGGTGGCTTATGCCTGTAATCCCAGCATTTTGGGAGGCCAAGGCAGGATTGCTTGAGACCACGAGTTCGAGACCAGCATAGGCAACATATTGAAACCTCGTCTCTACCAAAAGAAAAAAAAAATAGCCAGGTGTGGTTGTGCGCACGTGTAGTCCCAGCTACTCAGGAAGTTGAGGCAGAAGGACCACTTGATCCCATAAAGACAAGGCTACAGTGAGCCGTGATTGTGCCCCTGCACTCCATCCTGGATGACAGAGTGAGATTCTGACTCCAGAAAAGAAAAGGAAATAATAGCAATTAAAAGTATAGTATACTAAATACATGCAGTAACTCATCACTTATTATCATTATCAAGTACCGCAATTCCTCACTTAATATAGTTGATAGGCCTGGAAACTGTGACTTTAAACAAAATAATGTATAAACCAATTTTACCGTAGGTTAATAGGTACAGGCAAAAGGCATATCTATTATTCTGCTTATAACAGGTATTAAAAAAGACTCAAAATACTGCCAATATTAAACATTGATATAAAGGCGAGGTAGACATACATTTGAGAAACATTAATAAAGACAAGAAAGGTAATTACACAATGTTTAGTGAGCTGATGAGTGGCAGCCGTCGTAGTGGTGGTAGGTGGTATAATATACATAGCAGCCGGGCTCAGTGGCTCAGTCTGTCATCCCAGCACTTTGGGAGGCCGAGGTGAGAGGATTGCCTGAGCCTACAGGTTCGAGACCAGTCTGAACAACTTAGCGAGACCTCCTCTCTACAATAAATCAAAAATTAGCCAGGTGTGGTAGCGCGCTCCTATAGTTCCAGTGACTTGGAAGGCTGAGGTGGAAAGATCATGGGAGCCCAGCAGGTCCACGCTGGGGTGGCTGTGAGTGTGCCACCGCACTCCAGCCTGGACGACAGAGAGCAATTCCTACTCACGCACACACACACAAAATTATATATATACACATGTCAGTCTTGCCAAGCACTTTGGTACTGAGTCTTACTGTTGTGCATTTGTAGGATTACTGTATATTTTGTGATTTTTTTAAAAGAGTTGGGATCTCACTCTGTCACCCAGGCTGAAAGGCAGTGGTGCGATCATAGCTCACTGCATCCTTGAACTCCTAGCCTCAAGCGATCTCCCGCCTCAGCTTTCCCAGGCTGGGACTACAGGCATAGGCCACCGCACCCAGCTATTTTTTCTCCTTTTTTTTTTTTTTTGAGTTGGAGTCTCTCTCGGTCGCCCAGACTGGAGTGCAGTGGCCGCTCCCGGCCACCGCAGCCTCGACCTGCTGGGCTCCGGCGATCCTTCCACCTCAGCCTTCCAAGTAGCCGGAATTACAGGCATGCGCTACCACGCCCAGCTGATTTTTTGATTTATTGTAGAGATGAGGTCTAGCTTCCCAGGCGGGTCTCGAATCTGCGGGCTCAGGCAATCCACTCACCTCAGCCTCCCAAAGGCGCGGGATTACAGGCTGAGCCACCGAGCCCGGCTTATTTTTTCTCCTTTTATTTATTTTTTTGTAGAGACAGAGTCTCTGTGTTGCCCAGGCTGCTCTTGGAAATCCTGGTCTCAAGCGATTCTTTTGCTTTATCGTCTCAAAGCACTGAGATTAAAGGCATGAGCCACTGCATCCAACCATGAATTTTTATCTTCCAGAAATCTGTACTAATTCATTCATTTTCCAGCCCACTTATTCAGTTCAGGGTTGCGGATGGCTGGAACCTGTCCTCCCGCAGCTTGGGGCGAGACGTGGCCAGGGCACCATCCCATCTCAGGACCACTCACACTGGGACCACGTAGACTCACCAGTTTGACTAATACATCTTTGGGATGTGGGAGAAAACCCATGCAGACATAGCGAGAATGTGCCAACTCCACAGTCAGCAGCCCTGGTCAGGAATTGAATTTTTTACCTTATCAACGTTCTAACAAAACGATGCTGAGTGAAATGGCGTCATTCAAGGATCTGCTGCACTGTAGATGACTGTATGTGCCAGACTTCTCTACGATTGGCAGTGCGGGAGATGTGTATACCAGCATCGCTACTAACACCCCAGCAGCACAACCGAAGGACAACCATGACATCATTAGGTGGTAGGAACGTTTTTCAGCTCCATCATCTTTTTTTTTAAACATAAAGAAGCATTTATTTGAGGCTTAACATGAAATCATAGAAGTAAAATGTGTATAAACACAAATCCACATCACGTTGTAACACAGCAAAGGATACAGCGAAAACACATCAGCTGGATTAACCTTAAAGAGGAAAGAGGACGCTGGTGGGTGCGTGTGGGTCAACGCCGCCAATTGAGTGTCCAAGAGCCTGTGCACTGTCCCCCAGTCACAGCTCAGGCACCACCAGCTCTGGCTGCAAGGACTGGTGGCTGTGGCTGCTGCCCGCCTGTTTGTCCCCGCACCTCCTGCCCGTAGGAACAGAGAGGGCCCCGGTGGGGGGGTGGGGGGGAAGTGGTCTCTGCTGGTGTGTCCCATGACGTGGAACCATCAGCCACTGACACTGCCCCCCCCAGGTGTTGGATTGCGGCTCCATGCCGGCACCCTGCACCAGCCACAGCACTGGGACCACTGCTCCTGGGTCACAGGGCGCCACTCAGCCACCAACAAGGAAACCCTGGAAGAGGTGAGCCCTGCTCTTGAGCTGATCCACAAGATGAAAGGTGATAAGCTGCATGAATCCCCTCATGCTGTGGGCGCCCAGAGTCATGAGCGTCGCTAGGAGATGACCCTGAGTGACAGTGCCACCAATGTGCTGGAGTGGAATCGTGCTTTCACAGAGGCCTACACTGAGGCGATGTGGATGTGCAAAAGCCGCCCACATGCTGCTGAACTGTGAGGAAAAGCCTGCCCCGCAGGGCCCATTGGAAATCCCTGATGCCCAGACCCGGAGAGATGCTTAGCACATGCATCACCATGTGACCCCTGGCCTTTCCAGGAGTTGGAGGCTGCAGTGAGCTTTGATTGATCATGTCGCTGCACTAATCAGCCTGAGGGCAGAATAAGACTGTCTTGCCTGGTGTGATTCCATCCTGCGCGGCTGTTCTTTGGAGCAGTAGTCGTTTGCCTCCGTCCCCCTTCTCTCCCACCTAAGTGTGCGCCACCACCCCATGGAAGATTCGATGGACATGGACATGAGCCCCCTGAGGCCCCAGAACTATCTTTTTGGTTGTGAACTAAAGGCCGACAAAGATTATCACTTTAAGGTGGATAATGATGAAAATGAGTACCAGTTATCTTTAAGAACGGTCAGTTTAGGGGCCGGTGCAAAGGATGAATTGCACATTGTTGAAGTAGAGGCAATGAATTATGAAGGCAGCCCAATAAAAGTAACACTGGCAACTTTGAAAATGTCTGTGCAAGCCAACAGTTTCCCTTGGGGGCTTTGAAATAACACCACCCGTGGTCTTACGGTTGAAGTGTGGTTCAGGGCCTGTGCATATTAGTGGATAGCACTTAGTAGTTGTGGAAGAAGATGCAGAGTCAGAAGATGAAGAGGATGAGGATGTAAAACTCTTAAGTATATCTGGAAAGAGATCTACTCCTGGAGGTGGTAGCAAGGTTCCTCAGAAAAAAATAAAGCTTGCTGCTGATGAAGAAGATGATGATGATGATGAAGATGATGATGATGATTTTGATGATGAGGAAACTGAAGAAAAAGCTCCAGTGAAGAAATCTGTACGAGATACTCCAGCCAAAAATGCACAGAAATCAAACCAGAATGGAAAAGACTCAAAACCATCAACACCAAGATCAAAAGGTCAAGAATCCATCAAAAAACAGGAAAAAACTCCTAAAACACCAAAAGGACCTAGCTCTGTAGAAGACATTAAGGCAAAAATGCAAGCAAGTATAGAAAAAGGTGCTTCTCTTCCCAAGGTGGAAGCCAAGTTCATCAATTATGTGAAGAATTGCTTTCGGATGACTGACCAGGAGGCTATTCAAGATCTCTAGCAGTGGAGGAAATCTCTTTAAGAAAATAGTTTAAACAGTTTGTTAAAAGTTTTCTGTCTTATTTCATTTCTGTAACAGTTACTATCTGGCTGTCCATTTTATAATGCAGAGTGAGATACCGTGTTTGATAAATGTTGTCCAGGTTCCATTGCCAAGAATGTGTTGTCCAAAATGCCTGTTTAGTTTTTAAAGATGGAACTCCACCCTTTGCTTGGTTTTAAGTATGTATGGAATGTTATGATAGGGCATAGTAGTAGTGGTGGTCAGACATGGAAATGGTGGGGAGACAAAAATATACATGTGAAATAAACAGTATTTTAATAAAGTAAAAAAAAAAAAAGACTGTCTTAAAAACAAACAAACAAAACAAAACATTGGCATTTGAGGAAAACAAAATGGAGCACAGTGCATTTAAAATAAGACCTTTAGGTTGGGTGCGGTGGCTCATGGTTGCTTGAGGTCAGGAGTTCGAGACCAGCCTGGGCGACGTACCGAGACCCATCTCAACAAAAATTTTAAAAGTAGCCAGGCGTGGTGGTGCATATCTGTAGTCCCAGCTACTCAGAAGGCTGAGGTGGGATCACCTGAGCCCAAGAGATTGAGGCTGTGGTGAGCTGTGATCCTGCCATTACACTCCAGCTTGGGATACCTAGTGAGACTGTTACAGTCTAAGTAACACTCTCCCTTGATACCAATAAATCGAAGGGGCGGGGAACTGGTAGAATGAGTTTTATTTCTGAATTTGAATCCAGGGAGCAGAGTGGGCTTTTGGCCTCTTTAAAATGGTTCTACTCACCCTTCAAGCTTTACAGTTCACTTTTATAAGTTCAGGGTAGTTGGTACTGATACATGAACTATGTGACTAGCAGAGCATTGTATAAGTTACAGCCACATTTTGTCAGTAATGACATGTTATGGTCCACATATCCTGGCGTCAGTTACCAGAGGTATCTCACAGTTTTTTATCCGGAACACCCAGCAGAAGCGTTAATTAAGCTTGTCATAGATTAAAGGAAGTTAGCAAGGCCTAAGACATCATACATTGTTACATGTTGTTATATGCAAAAATCATACAAACCTGTGACTATTAAAAAAAGGGAGCAGGCAGAGCCCCTGACCTCATCTCTACAATAAGTCAAAAAATTTGCCGGGTGTGGTAGCGTGCACCTGTAGTTCCGGCTACCTGGAAGGCTTAGGCAGAAGGATCGCCTGAGCCCAGCAGGTTGACGCTGGAGTGGCCCTGCGTATGCCACTGCACTCCAGTCTGACTGACAGAGTGAGACTCCAACTCAAAAGAAAGAAAGCAAAGGGAGTAAACGGGGATTTACATCTGTCAGTTAATTGGGGACAGTCTGCTGGGAAGTTAAGTGTTCTTTGAAATTACTTACTGGGAGTGCATAGAAGATAAGGGAAAGCGCACCTTTTGTTAACTCTCAGGAGTGCAGGAGTATTTGCCATGCCCTCCTCTAGGGGCTATGGCAATATGGACAAACAATATCGGGTCTCTGTATCAAGACCCCCAACTCAAAAAAAGAGTGTAAAAGTTTCTTGACTAGCTAGGCTCGGTGGCTCAGCCTGTAATCCCGCGCCTTTGGGAGGCTGAGGTGAGTGGATTGCCTGAGCCTGTGGGTTCGAGACCCGCCTGGGCAGCGAGATCTCATCTCTACAATAAATAAATAAATCAGCCGGGCGTGGTAGCGCATGCCTGTAATTCCAGTTACTTGGAAGGCTGAGGCGGAAGGATCGCCGGAACCCAACAGGTTGAGGCTGCGGTGGCCGGAAGCGGCCACTGCACTCCAGTCTGAGCGACAGAGTGAGACTCCAACTCAAAAAAAAAAAAAGTTTCTTGATTTAAAAAGCATTTCTTAGCCGGGCTCGGTGGCTCAGCCTGTAATCCCGCGCTTTGGGAGGCTGAGGTGAGTGGATTGCCTGAGCACACGGGTTCGAGACCCACCTGGACAACTTGGCAAGACCTCATCTCTACAATAAATCAAAAATTAGCCGGGCATGGTAGCGCGCGCCTGTAGTTCCAGCTACTTGGAAGGCTGAGGTGGAAAGATCGCCAGAGCCCAGCATGTCGAGGCTGCGGTGGCTGGGAGCCTGCCACTGCACTCCAGTCTGGGCAACAGAATGAGATTCCAACTAAAAAAAAAATAAAAATCATTTCTTGCATACAAAAAAAAAAAAAAAAACCAAAACAAGAAAAAACAAATTGTGGCTGAACACAGTTGTGTCTTGTACACTAACTATAGTCTTTTACAGATTTATCAAGGTCAACAGGAAACCAATCTTCAGGTCGTCCTGCAAGATGGGCTACGTTAGCACCTCCCCTGGCTTCTCCAGTGTGTCCTCTTCCTCTAGTCCAGCTGTTAACTGTCTGTGGAGGACCACCACCCCTCCTCTCAGGTACTTCCATAGTCTTGTCCTGTCCATATCCAGAGTTCCCATAGTTGTACAGCATCATCATAACCACCTTCCCCACTGCAGTTTTGATCACCCCATGGGCATCAATGCAACTTCCATATCTTTCATAAATCACAATAGTTTTTAAATCCTTGACTCTGCTCTGGTTTTGACCCTGACCTTGGCTACCACCCTGTCCATGAGCTGCATCCTTTTCCTCAATTTTTTGTGATTGCTGTTGTTGCCCATAGACCTCTTGGTGTTATACAACTTTGATTTCACACTTCTCAGATCCAATTTGATGTTATCTGTTTTCCAACAATTTCTCTTCTTTTCCTTTTTCTTTCTTTTTTTTTTTTGAGTTGGAGTCTTACTCTGTTGCTCAGGTTGGAGTGCAGTGGTACTCATAGCCACCGCAGCCTCACCTGCTGAACTCGGGCGATCCTTCCACCTCAGTCTTCCAAGTAGCTGGAACTACAGGCACACACCACCATGCCTGGCTAATTTTTTATTGTAGAGATGAGGTCTGGCCAAGTTGCCTAGGTTGGTCTGGAACCCGTGGTCTCAGGCAATCCTCTCACCTTGGCTTTTCAGAGTGCTGGGATTATAGGCATGAGTCACTGTGTCTGGCCTCTAACAACTTCTTTATCAGCTTTTTGTATAAATATGAGATAAAACAAAATCTCCTTCTTTTATTTGTTTTCATATTCATGGGGATTTCAATATTTTCAATCTCTCAAATATATATATATATTTTTTAATGTCAGGGTCTCATTCTGTCATCTAAGAGAGGAGTCAGTGGTTTGATTACAGCTCAAGGCAACCTCGACCTCCTGGGCTCAGGTGACCCTCCCCTCCTACCTTTGCCTCCCACCACCATGCATAAAATAATTTTATTTTTTGTAGAGACGAGGTCCCACTATGTTGCCTAGGCTGGTTTCAAACTCTTGCGCTCAAGCAATCCTTCCATCTCAGCTTTACAAAGTGCTAGGATTACAGGCATGAATCATCACACCCAGCATCAAAATAGTCTTCAATTTGTTCTTCAGAGGTTATCTGGGCTCAGTCAACCCACAAAAAACTGTTGCAGGGGCAGTACTTGCTCTTTTAAAGCTTTGGCCCTTTTGAGGTACATCAATTTGCCACCCAGTTGTGTTCTCTTAGTTCCAAGCACCTTGTCAACACTAGCAGCATTTTAGAAAAGCACAAAAACAAATCCTCTTGATCTTCCAGTGACGGCATCTGTTTTCACTTCCCGAGATTGGGGCAGATATTCGTTCACATCTTTTTGCTTGCACCCCAGCTCAAGACCCCATAGACATTGTACCACCATCCTTGCTCATGCTGATCTTAGATTCCTCTGTGAATTCCTCTCCATTGCCTGGGTTCTCGTTCAGGTCCTCCTTAGTGGCAGAATTGTCACAGGGGTCCTGGTATGCAGTTGGCCACGGCAGCAGCTTGTTGTATGGATTTCAAATGGTGGCAGAAGACAGCCATTATCGTCTTATGGGACTACCACATTAGAAGTGGTTGCTGTTGACCAAAAAGTTACCCTGTGGGGTAGTGCCCTAAGGTCCTAGAGCTCCCTGAGACCCTGCTGTAGCTTTAGCTCCCTGAAGCCCTGGCAGGAATGACTGCTGGTTACCTTAGTGATGAGTGAGGCCGGTGTCTTCTGTGGAGTAGATCACTGGAGTCCCTGGTGGTTCCCACCGCATGGCCTCCACTTTGTTTCTCTGGTCTCAGTGGTCTCCTGGCGTCTCAGCATGCCCATCTCACCAGTGAGCCTCTCTAGGTGGATAGTGTCTCATTTTTGCTCCACTGTGTTGCTGTAGATCTTTAATGGGCACTTGACCTTCTGGGCCCCTTTGGTTTGTGAACAGCTGTGTGTTTGACTTTGTGTGGGGGATTGAGGCTAGTATCGCCTACTCCACCATCTTGACTCCGCTCTTTACTTTTTTTCCCCCAAAATTACCCAGCACCATTGTCTCAACTAAAACCATTAACATAATTCCTCAGCATCAGTAGGCAGCCTACATTCACATTTCGTCTCCCTTCTTCTCATTTTTTCTTGATTGCTTAGTTTGCATCTCTCACGTGCATCTCCCTCCCTGCCCCCAGCCTCCCCCACCTCTCATCCCTGAGATGACAAACTGGGTCTGACTCCTGGAATGATCAGCATCCAGATCTGTGGCCAGTGGCTCGCAGGGACTGTGGGGAGGTTTTTGTGTTTGGAGAACAGATAGGGCCCTGGGAGAGTCTGGGTTTCACGCCTGCCCAAGCATGTCACAGTTCCCCAGATGCCTCTCCATAGCAGCCCTGGCTTTGGAGTGTGTGTGTGTGTGTGTGTGTGTGTGTGTGTGTGTGTGTGTGTGTGAGAAAGAGAGACAAAGAACGCCCCTGTTTCTACACATACAGGCCACCCACTCTTCTCTCCATGAAACTCCCTCCCCCCACTCCCATTACAGTCTAGATCTGAGCAGGTGAGGCGGGGAGGTGTAGATACTGCCAGTGGTCCCTGGCCAGGGAGGAGGAGCAACAGGGAGTCCCACCTCTGCTCCTGCAGGTGATGGATCCTCCAGTGACTGTTTAAAATTAAATGGGTGTTTTACAATCAAAAACAGCATTTTGTAAGAAATAAAAACCAAGAATTCAGTCAAACACTGCATCCACATATAACCAGCCAGAAAGTAGGAAGAATCTAGCACCTCAATCCTTCTCTTCGCGCCCCCCCCCCACCAACTCCCTCCCTCCATTGTCTCTTGGTCCTGCCCAGCTGCTAGGGAGGGGCAGCAGAAAGTGAGCCCAAGCGAGGTTTTGTGACATGGGCTTGACTCCCAGTCTCTTCCCAGTTTTGTGTGGCCTGGCACACCTCTTCCAACATTCCCGATTGGCACTGACAGGTGTCACTATGTTGCCTCCTCTGACATGAACCCTGGACGATCTCATGACCACATCACAGGGTTTGCTGAGCCTTGTTGATGTCAGGCGCTGAGCAGGTTGCTCCCATGCCCTCGATTGAGGCCCAGGGAGGAAAGCTACTCCTCAGCTGGGGCCACATAGTGAGTGGCTGCAGCCTGGGCACAAGTCAGGCTCATCCCTTTCAGATTCCCACTCTTACCCTGCCACTCAGTCTCCTTCCAGGAAGTGGACACCCACTTTGGGTGGGATTTGTGGCAACTGGTGGGACAGGGTCAGGAGCCCATGCAGTCACCCACCTCCTCCGGGCTTGCAGGTGAGGGCAGCACAGCCTTGGGGGACAGAGTCTGGAGCCCCAGTAGATAACCCAACTGGCACAGGGCTTGGCTCTGTGTAATGCTGTTGTCACCATCTGGAAATTGTCAAGATTTATGAACAAGCATTTCTTTTTTTTTCTTTTCTTTTTTTTTGAGTCAGTGTCTCACTCTTTCACCCAGGCTGGAGTGCAATGGCATGCTCATGGTCACTGCAGCCTCAATCTGCTGGGCTCAGGTGATCCTTCAGCCTCCGCCTTCCAAGTAGCTGGAACTACAGGCGCACGCCACCATGCCCAACTAATTTTTTGATTTACTGTAGAGATGAGGTCTTGCCAAGTTGCCCACAATCCTCTCACCTCTGCCTCCCAAAGTGCTGGGTTTACAGGCGTGAGCCACTGCACCCAGCTCAAACAAGCATTTCTATTTTGCACAGAGGCCCTTCGAATCATGTCTGGGGCCCGGTGCATCCCTCTGTGTTGGATGGCAGGGAAGCGCAGCTATGAGGGGGGCAGTCAAGCAGGCCTGTGTTTGCATTCCAGGAGTCGGAGCTGATCCTGGATGCAGCAGAGGCCTCTGGTCTCCCGGAGGAGGACAGAGGATGAGTGGCTAGACTCCCTTCTGTCGCTGCAGAGTCTACAAACCAGGGCGGAGCCTGAGGCAAGCAGCATCCCTGGCCTGTGGGATGAGTGTCCAGTGCCTGGATTCTGTGGGCTGGAAGTGGGGTTCTGGCCAGGCCAGAGAGACCCCACACCAATCTGAAGCATAGACTTTGTCAGTGGGCGGATTTGGGGGATTCTTGGTGAGCTCCTTACCTCCACAGAAACCAGGCACACCCACTGTGGGGACTGAGATCTGGGGATCTCCGAGGGCCCCCAACATCTCTCACACCCCACAAACAGGCCTGGGCCTCCCAGCCTCAAGGGAGGCAGAGGCAGATAGAGGAGGGTGAGGGGGTCGCTGGAGTCCGGGACTGTGGAGTCTGCCCCAACATGCGCCTCCGTCGTAAAGGACCAGGCGCAGGGCCGCATTGAGACAGGAGGGACCTGGACGAGGCCGTTACTGGGATCCTTCGCGCCCCCCAGAGCCCCGAGAGATGCTGCTGGTGTCCGCCAGTCCCCTCCCCGGTAACCGCCTCCCTTCCTGCAGGCTTCCGGGCGCCGTGGCCTCTGAAGCCCAGCATCTGGGACGACCCCGAGAACCTGCCCGCCGGGTGGGCGCAGGGGGCGGGTCGCCCGAGAACCCCCAGGC